TTTTGGTGAACAGTTTCAATTAGCTATAATTGCATATCTAAATACCTAAATTGTATTAAATGGTTATCCGTAATGCTTTTCCAATTTCTAATTGTGTACCTCCTGAAATTACTACAGCGCCCTTCTCCTTTTCACTTCTGATTCTTTCTTTTTTTTTTTAATTTCTTCTCCCTAATCTCTATTTTATTTCTACATCAAGGTAGAAACTCAAGCTCCAGTAAGAATGTGAATGCAGCTCTTTGAAAGAAAGGACTTCTTGAAAATGTGTAGCTGCTATCAGGTTGTTTCCTTTCCTTTGTTCTCACTGTAGTGACCTCTAGACTCTTGCGTGTGCTGTAGTGGAAAAAATACAGGGTCCTGTTAATGGCTACCCTTCTGGTAGACTGAGTTCCTTTTCTTCTTTTGGTAAACAGTTGAATCTTAGTTCTGTAGTATTCTGAAGAATTTACGTTCATTTTATTCTGCATGTAAAAATATAGAAATTGCTCCTAACATTTGAAATTGACAAGTTGTTCTTGTGCCACTTCATTATTAGCCTGAAAATAATGTGCTTAAAATACAAAAGGAATATAAATGCCTTTTAAATATTGTTAGAAATTATCCTCATTTGGATATTTACCTTCTTTATAGTTTAGTCTTCAGCCTTAAATGCCTTCTGCTTCCCCATGTACTGATTTGAAATGACTGTGAATAATTCATCATTAGCCTTACTTACTCGAATGCAACTTGACATCAGTTTGTACTCCATCTTGCTAGTGATTTTATATATCATGAACTGTGATTTGATTCCTGGGATTTAGATTAAGGTCATAGTTCAAGATATTGTCCCTGACGCACCTTTTTTCTTCTGTTTGTCCACATCAGTTAGTTTTCCTTTAGATGGGTTGGATGTGGCCGGGAGAGGCAAATAACTAACAGCAGCCCTTTTAATATTATATCATCTTGTGCAGCTCAGTCTATCTACTACCATCTTCAAGTCATTTTGATCTACAAACTGTGTTGGAGTGAGTCCTGTCACTTTCTGCTGTATTTACCTCCTTTTCCCTGTGATAAATATTATGCTTGATATGGCCTGAGTGGTGAGAAGTAACGGTCACTTGCTGTTCCTCTCTTGCATCCTGACTGTCTCCCAAGCTGAACCTATGTGTATATGTATCAGCTGTTCCAGTAAATAAAACAAGATCTGAAAGCAGCCTTGTCCAACCCTATTCAACTTGATGCTGGTCTGTTATTGCCTGTTTGCTGCCTAGTCCTTCTTCATTTTGTATTGGAACCCTTTAATTTTTCCTCTTGCTTTCTAAACAATAAACCTCCTGATATATGAACCTGAGAGACAAGTTTGGGATTTTACAGTATTATTCCTCCACCAAGGAAGTCCTTTGTATAAGAAAATAGCTTGGGTCAAAATTTGTTCTCTATCAGTTTTATAAACTGAAAAACGTTAAGGGACCGAAACTGTAGGTGCTGAAAAACAAATGGGAAAATAACATCTTAAGTGCATTTGTATGAGCTTTTTTGAATACAGTATGAGAACAGCCTATCAGCATAAGATGTTATTTACAGTAACTAAGGAAACTGGTGAGAGTCCAGAAGTGTTGATTCTTTTTGCCCCGCAGTCTAACAGAAACCCTAATCTGTAATCTGTATTTGATTTCACTCACTTTGAGCTAGAAATTGTAGTTAGCTTTCTTCCTTCAGATTCTTATAATAAAAATATACATTATTCTGAAATACTGTCTAATTTCACTGTAGTTTATATAGTTTAAAGTACCTTCTCGCTGCTAAAAGAACAAAAAGGAATTGCAAAAACATACATATTTTACAGGAATAATCCTTTTATTTGGGATTGGTGTCACTGTATTTAAGCTTCAGTAGTTGAAACTTAACTGTCCATAGCGGTGCTTAAATTGGGATACATCTCTTCACACTAGTATCAATAGATTTGTACTTAAAAGGGGGATATTGAATGAAAGGGGCAGAATAGACTTTATCATCTTCACAGGAATGAATATCTTTCTGTGACACTTAACAAATAGGTTGTCTGTCTTTGTTTGGTTGTACTTGGCCTCTACTGAGCATCGTGCAGTTTGACACGGTGTAATATTGCCCCTTATAAAATGCTGACAGTTAATTTTTACTAATTAGATAGAAAAATTGTTTTTGATGTAATTTGGCTGACTTGGAACTTTAGAAGCTTTTTTCTGGTTAACAAACTAAAAACTATCTAGATTATACTGATGAAAGAAATTGGTGTTTTTAAACTTGCTCATAGAAACTTTTTGTTCTGTTTTTTTAGATTCAGATATAACTTTTACTTTTGGAGTCCTTCGCATATCAGGATTACAGGATAGCTTTGTAATTCTTCCTTTTCCACATTGGCCAAAATAAAATTTAGCTTTTTCCACAGAAGCTTTTTGGGGTGGTTATGTTCACTTTATCTTGATCATTGCCTCAGAAACATAATTAGCAGTACAACAAAGACTAATTCCTTTGTTTGATGGCCTTCACTTCAGCTTCTTTGTATCTAGTATGCTGTGATCTGCCTGTTTAAAGTGCTGAGGTTCCATTATGGATTGTTAGCACTTTCAAGGGACTGCACGTGATGCATCAAGCATCACTGGAGAAGTGCTTTGCATGTAGCAACTGTATGAAGCAAGAGTGCAGCAGGTAGCTTGTTGGTAATGATTGGAGACATGGCAGGGAATTACTGACCTGCACAGTGAAGCATGTCATAACTGTGACAAGCTGGCTGCTTTTAAGGCCATATAAAAGACAGCTGATGTTAAAATAGCAACTAAACTTGTAGTTCAGAATTTAAGTTTGTTTGAAAATCATTTATACAGTGAAAATATTTAGAGTAGGGTCTTTGACTTGGATTAGGACTGTCCAGCTTCTGAGTGGTCAAGGGCTAGCCCTGAGCTTCCCAGCCACACTCATTATGGGTTGCATGCCCTATTGGCTGCCTGCAGTGCAGGCCAGGCCATGCGCTGCTTCACACTGTGCCAATCCTCACACCATGTGGTGGGTGCTTCCCCTGCTGTACTGTGCCAGCAGCCCCATGTGCCACAGTGGTCCCCCTGTGCTGTACAATCTCCCCAAATCCCCCCCAAGCCACCTGGCTGCAGGCTGTCTTGGCCACACCTGTAGGGGCAGAGCAGGAGACTTCACTGGCAGCGGCAGCTGGAGCAGTGAAAGAAAGAGTAGCCCCTGCACCAGGAATTGGGATGGAGGGCCACAAGTTAACCACTTGGAGGCCTCATGTGGCCTGTGGGCCACCAGTTGGACAGCCCTGACTTAGACTGTGTTGGTTTTTTTGTCTCATATTTGTTCATTTCTGCTGTTGCATGTTGGAAGCTTTTTATATATTAACTAATTTGAACTATTCTAAATAGTAGAATTTTCTAGTATTCTAAGTATTATCAAAACAAGTTACACACATGGCTTAAATTGGAGTTGCTAGGCTTAAGGAGGGAAATTTATAACACATTTATAGTTATTGATATAGAAAATACAAAATTCTAGCTTTTTGTTGGGTGGGTCTCGTATTTCTTTCATCTTGGGCCATCATCAATTTACCTTTTGTGTTGTTATAAGCAGGCTCAAGCTAATTTCACTGTGTTCTCATGCATTGTTTTAAAATGCTTCAATGTTTGGATTGAAAAAGCAGAGAAACAGTTCAATATAAAGCTTCCCAGTCTTTCTGTGCTTTCTGTATGAATCATAGAGACAGTCTTTTGAACTAAGGATTTATTAACATTTATTTTCATAGAAGTAAATTTTGGGTTATATTGGACCTGGCAATAACTCATAATACATGTTAAATTTAAAAACTTCAGCAGTCATCAGACAATATAGTATTTTCCCTTTTTGGTTGCTGCAGAGTGGTTTGAGTACTTTGATCATCTTATCAGTATATCTCGAAGGACTACCTTGCCACATCACATTAAACTAGTCCTTCACTATTAGAATGACAGTTTCATAAATGTCTCCCAAAAATATGCTCAGTTTCTGAAAATATGTGTAATCTGTAAGTATCTAACTTGGGAAGGAGCTGTGTTTTGGTAAAAAAGTGTTGGTAAGACAGTGAACTGAGTGGGTATTCATCTTTCTCTAGGCCACTGGTTCCCAAACAAGGGGTTATGACCCCAAATGCCACCTAATGACAGAGGTAATGAGCCTAATAGACATTAAACTGTTGCTTTCAGACTTGCACTGGAATTTGGGCTGTGAGCCTGAAAATGGGGTATTTCATGCAAAATAAATAAATAAATAAAGGTTAAAAACTGCTACTTCAGGTAGGCTGACAATAAGGAAATCTGGGACATTCATCTGGGACAGTACCCCTCTGCCCCCTTCAGGACTTTCTCTTCTCCTCCCCCCCCCCCACCCCCCCCCCAAAAAAAAAAAAAAAAAAAAGTCAGGGGCAAGGTGGTATGCTGAGCAGGTAGCAATGCCTGCTTGCCCAGCACTCTGACTGCCAGCCAGACTGTGCCCCATGCTCCTGTTTTCAGGATGCTCATTATAATTCTCAGAAGCCGGCCATGACCAGCCTCTGAAATCCAGGACTGTCCCGGCTAAATTGACACATATGGTCACACTCGCTTCTAAGCCTTTTCAGCAAAATCTCTCATTTTTACCTACCTCTGTTTTTTATAGCAAATGAGTAGCTGAACAAAATAAAGATTCTGTACTTGATATGATGGTTCTAGCCCTACTTTCTATAGATAACAAAATGTATTTGGTAATCATTTCCTTCTTCAGCCTCTCACCTTCCCGTGCAGCAAACATTTAACATGACATACTTATTTCACTAGGAGTTACTTTCCTGTTAGATAACTCTGCCACTATGCCTGTGTGTGTATCCTGTGTTAACTTCTCATCAGCTTAATTGGCAACAGATTCACCAATGCAGTGTTTCTTGGAAATGTCTTTCATATATTTTTGTTGTTGTTGATATGTTGTAAAAGAAGATAAGCTTATTTTGTTTTTTATTTTTACAGTTACATGGGAATTGGGCTTTCTGCTCAAGGTGTGAACATGAATAGGCTACCAGGTACGTCTAATATTTATTAGTATTGTGTTTGATTTATGAAACAATGCAACCAAACTTAATGGTTTTACAGTGTAATATCTGTTTCAGAGTAAATATCAAGATCTTTTAACCACCAACAATGTATTTAGCTCCCAGCACTAAACTATTAAGATACTTGTCCTGTTTATAACCATCTCAGTGCATCTTAGCCATAGGACAAATTGCAGTTTGATGAAACAAACTGTCATGTACAATGTGAAGCCCTAAAAGGATTTCTTGTGCAGAAGAGATGTTTTTGTAATAGTTATTAATAGAGATGCCTTCCTGTGAGCAAAACCTTGTCACTTTTTTAAGAGTAGGCAGGACATACTATTTTTGTTTCAACACTGAATTTCCTTTTCTCTCTTAATATTAAGAACATAAAGTGGCTGAAAAACGTGGCTACATTTTAAGCACCTCTGTAGTCCTAGGACATTTATGTATGTGCTCTGGGAGCTCACTCTAATTAGAGTGCCTGAGCATCATGTGTGTTAGCGTCCCCATGCTGAAAAATGGTGGTGGGGCACTTCAACTAAAGCTCGCCCACTGCCATTTTTCACTACAGGGATGCTAATGCACATGGTGCTGGAGTCCACTGCAGTGCTGTAATTACCATGTTCCATAGATTTCATAGACATTAGGGCTGGAAGGGACCTCGGAAGATCATCGAGTCCAGCCCCCTGCCCAAAGGGCAGGAAGTCAGCTGGGTTCATAGGATCCCAGCAAGATGAGCATCCAGTTTGCTCTTGAAGGTGTTCAATGTAGGTGCTTGAACCACCTCTGGAGGCAGGCTGTTCCAGACCTTGGGGGCTTGGACAGTAAAGAAATTCTTCCTCATGTCCAGCCTGAAACAGTCTTGTAGTAGTTTATGACCATTCAACCTAGTCGTCATCCCTTGGGGCGCTCTGGTGAACAAACGTTCCCCCAGATACTGGTGGTCACCCCTGATAAACTTATAGGTGGCCATCAGATCACCCCTGAGCCTGCGCTTTTCCAGGCTAAAGAGCCTCAGAGCTCTCAGCTGGTCATCGTAGGGTCTGCTTCCCTGACCTCTGATCATGCGCGTGGCTCTTCTCTGGACTCTCTCAAGCTTCTCCACATCCTTTTTGAATTGTGGAGCCCAAAACTGGACGCAGTACTCCAGCTGCGGCCTCACTAAGGCCGAGTACAAGGGGAGAATGACGTCCCGGGATTTGCCTGAGAAGCATCTATGGGTGCAACCCAGTGTTTTGGTCACTTTACTAGCCGCCGCATCGCATTGCAGGCTCATGTTCATCTTGTGGTCAATGATGACCCCCAAGTCATCTGTAAAGTGGATTTCATAGACATTAGGGCTGGAAGGGACCTTGGAAGATCATCGAGTCCAGCCCCCCGCCCAAAGGGCAGGAAGTCAGCTGGGGTCATAGGATCCCAGCAAGATAAGCATCCAGTTTCATCTTGAAGGTGTTCAATGAAGGCGCTTGAACCACCTCCGGTGGCAGGCTGTTCCAGACCTTGGGGGCTCGGACAGTAAAGAAGTTCTTCCTTATGTCCAGCCTGAAACGGTCTTGAAGTAGTTTGTGACCATTCGACCTCGTCATCCCTTGGGGCGCTCTGGTGAACAAACGTTCCCCCAGATGCTGGTGGTCACCCCTGATAAACTTGTAGGTGGCCATCAGATCACCCCTGAGCCTGCGCTTTTTCAGGCTAAAGAGCCCCAGGGCTCTCAGCCTGTCATCGTAGGGTCTGCTTCCCTGACCTCTGATCATGCGCGTGGCTCTTCTCTGGACTCTCTCAAGCTTCTCCACATCCTTTTTGAATTGTGGAGCCCAAAACTGGACACAGTACTCCAGCTGCGGCCTCACTAAGGCCGAGTACAGGGGGAGAATGACGTCCCGGGATTTGCTTGAGAAGCATCTATGGATGCAAGCCAGCGTTTTGGTCGCTTTACTAGCCGCCGCATCGCATTGCAGGCTCATGTTCATCTTGTGGTCAATGATGACCCCCAAGTCTCTTTCTTCCATAGTGCTAGCCAACATAGCACTGCCGAGCCTATAAGGATGCTGCGGGTTTTTTTTCCCAAGGTGGAGAACCTTGCATTTATCGGCGTTGAACACCATCAGATTCTCGTCCGCCCACTTGCTGAGCCTGTCCAGGTCAGCCTGGATAACCTGCCTGTCTTCTGGTGTGGATGCTTTGCCCCAAAGTTTGGTGTCATCGGCGAACTTGGCCAGTTCTGATCGCTTCTGACTCCAGTGTCCACATCATTAATGAAGATGTTGAACAGTATGGGTCCAAGGACAGAGCCTTGGGGGACCCCACTGGTCACAGGACACCACGATGAGTGACTTCCATCGATTACTACCCTCTGGGTCCGACCCCGGAGCCAATTTTCCAGCCAGTGGATCGTGGAGGACCCAAGGCGACAATTGGCCAGTTTCTCCAAGAGGCGATCATGGGACACCAGATCGAAGGCTTTTTTGAAGTCAAGATATATGACATCAATCTCTTCTCCCTTGTCCAGGTGATAGGTCACCTGGTCGTAGAAGGAAATGAGATTGGTCAAGCAAGACCTACCCGCAACAAACCCGTGCTGGCTATCCCTTAAGATGTTGGCGTCGGCCAGTCCATTAAGGATGGCCTCTTTAATAAACTTTTCTAAGATCTTCCCCGGGATAGAAGTCAGGCTGATGGGCCTATAGTTAGCCGGATCCACTTTCCTCCCTTTCTTGAAGATAGGCACCACATTGGCCTTCTTCCAGTCTTCGGGCACTACACCAGAGCGCCAAGAGTTTTCAAAGATCCGCACTAGAGGCTGGGCTATGATGCTCGCCATCTCCTTGAGTACCCTGGGGTGAAGATTGTCAGGGCCGGCTGACTTGAAGGTATCCGGCTTCTCAAGATGTTCCTTCATGAAGTCAGCATCAATGGAGGGCAGGGGATCACCCTCACACATCCTTTTTGAATTGTGGAGCCCAAAACTGGACGCAGTACTCCAGCTGCGGCCTCACTAAGGCCGAGTACAAGGGGAGAATGACGTCCCGGGATTTGCCTGAGAAGCATCTATGGATGCAAGCCAGCGTTTTGGTCACTTTACTAGCCACAGCATCGCACTGCAGGCTCATGTTCATCTTGTGGTCAATGATGACCCCCAAGTCTCTTTCTTCCTTAGTGCTAGCCAACATAGCACTGCCGAGCCTATAACTCACCCGGATTTCCCTGTCCCGTAGCGGAAGTGGGCGTCCCGTGGGGCTGGTGAAAGACCGACACAAAGTACCTATTT